TTTCCTAGAACGTTGCAGAATGGTAACCTTAAATCTGAGAGGGCTTGTGCGTAATGTGACCTGCTTTAAAGAAGTCACCCAGGGAAAGACTGGATTATTCGAATTTATGGGAGACACCGATGGGAGCCTGTCAGTGAAAACTCCACACCACAGAACAGTACAGCAAGTAGTTTTAGACAAGCAGGTTAACTATTCAAATTGCTATATGGTGCTTACAAGGACAATGATTAAGAGTGACACTTGCCAGGCTCAGTGGCTCAGCCCGTAATCCTGCGCCTTGGGAGGTCAAGGTGAGTGGACTGCCTGAGCCTGCGGGTTCGAGACCCGCCTGGGCAACTTGGCGAGACTTCATCTCTACAATAAATCAAAACTAGCCGGGCGTGGTAGTGCGCGCCTCTAGTTCCAGCTACTGGGAAGGCGGAGGCGGAAGGATCGCCGGAGCCCAGCGCGTCGAGGCTGCGGTGGCCGGGAGCGGCCGCTGCACTCCAGTCTGGGCCACAGAGTGAGACTCCCACTCAAAAAGAAAAAAAAGAGGGACACTTACATTCCTTTCAGCCTTGCTCATCATCTGCACCCCTGCCTCATTACTGGGAATATGCATTTCCTTCAGAGACCAGCCTTGGCCAGAGGCCACTCCCTGGGGGTGGGGGGGAGCCAGGTGTGAGGGGAAAGAGTCGCCATCAGGACGCTGCCTTACATGTGCCTCTAGCCCGTCCTTGACACACGGTGAGGGGTCTCACCCATTTGGCTTAGAGCCGCAGGATAGACGCCTGGATTTTCTTTTCTTTCTTTCTTTTCTTTTCTTTTCTTTCTTTCCTTTCTTTCTTTCTTTCTTTCTTTCTTTCTTTCTTTCCTTTCTTTCTTTCTTTCTTTCCTTTCTTTCCTTTCTTTCTTTCTTTTCTTTCTTTCTTTTCTTTCCTTCCTTTCCTTTCTTTCTTTCTTTCCTTTCTTTCTTTTCCTTCTTTCTTTCTTTCCTTTCTTTTTTTCTTTCTTTTCTTCCTTCCTTCCTTCGTTCCTTTCTTTCATTTTCTGTCAAGGCAAAGAATGAAGAATAAGAGGGCTTTCTTTTTCTTGAAAGGGGATTAGAAAAAGAAAACAATCAAATAAGCAAGAGGCCCTTCTACAAAAGAGGAACAACAAGGAAGACTGTCCCTTAAGAGGGAAGTCACCAGCTATTCAGAAAAGGGAGTTCTGAGTACGAAAAGAGGCGAACCAGGAAAACTGCAGGATAAGTTGTAAATCTGCCCTAACACCTCTGCCAGGGGATGCCTTTTAATGCTATTCCCTTTTAACTGGATAATTTTGACTCCTTGGGCACTTAAGGAGTACTTACTATGCGCAAGGTGCTGGGCTAGATGCTGGGGTCACCGAGAGGTGCCACCGGGGCTGAGGACCCCAGGAGGGACCTGGAAGCCTCTGGTGAGGCAGGCAGAGAGCACCAAGCACCGTGACACCACCTGCTCCAGGCACAGAGCACCCGAGTGCCATTTCAGTGTCCTCACCGCACACGAAAGGTGACTGTGAGGCCAGGGCTATGTTCACTACCTCAATTGTGGTAACCATGTCACAGTGTATACAAGGGGGGGCCCCGAAAATGGAATTTCTTTATAAAAATTGTATATTTGTTCTTAGATGTTTACACTGCAGTCACCTTCAAAGTACTCTCTGTTGGATGCAATACACTTATCGAGACGCTTTTCCCACTCCTCAAAACGGTTTTTTTAACACGTCCATTTTGATGCCTTTTAGTGTTCTGCCGTTCTCTCTTCCACATCAGCAAGATGTTTCTCTTTAAGGACTTTTTTCATCCTGGGAAACAAAAAAGATGAGATCGGGCGAATAGAGAGTGTGGAGCACGGAGGTCACGCTGTTTTTGGTCAAACGCTGCTGACCGCTCAGCATGGCACAGACAAGCGCAGTCGTAAAGCACCCATCATGAAATGGGCAAACGTGTTGAAAGGATCTCCCCAAAAAATTCACCGAAGCGGAAAGCAGCCTCTCACAACAACGCTAGCTGGTCCACTGATGCAGATGGGTTCCTAGAAGACTTATCTAGAAGGGAAGCCTTTGCTGAGCGCTTACCCAGTACACTGCAAGGGATCCGCCCTCCAGGAGATAATTCCAGGCTTCTTTGGGGGGGTGCCTCTTGAATGTATACCAGATCCTCACATGGTACACCTTAAATGCATCCAGTCTTGTTGGTGATACCCCAATGAAACAGGTGGTGAAAAGGAAGGGGGGGAGGGTCTTTCGGTCCGAGGACAAGAAAGAGCAAAGCATGGTGGCCTGGAATGCTCTGTCGTGCTGATGGAACTGTATGCCGTTGGACATGGCGGTGTGGGGAGGACAAGACGTGGGGAAACGAGATGCTGGAGAGGTGGAATGGGACTGCCACTTGCTGGCCACACCACCTAAGGAACGGAGCTGGCTTCTCTGTGCCTCTACTTCCCCGATCGGTTGAATGGTTGAATAACAACAGTGCATGTCTCTCAAGGTCATCTTAGACTAAGACATATAAAATGCTGAGAACAGTGACTAGTACAGAAAGCACTCGACCAAGGTTAGCTGTCGTTATTTTTCAGGTAAAAACCCTATGACTTAGCAACTGATTGAACTTGCCTCCATTGCAAGGGAGAGATGCAATGTTCATCAAGGGAATGTGGCAAATACTCAGAATTAGTAATATTAGCTTGGGGGGAAACAGATAAAAATTGAAGACAGATATTCCACAAAGTAACTCCCTGTAGACCTCAAAAGTGTCAAGGACACCCGAGGAACTGTTCCCTACTGAGGGAAACCAGAAGGACATGACAGCTAATGGCATATGTGATTCCAACCCGACCCATTGGCTTCAGAGGATATTATGGAGTCAATTGGGACCATTCTGTGGACATTTGAATGGGGTCTGAGGATAAGTTTTGAAGGAGGGTGTGTTCCTTGTTTGTAGACAATGGCCTTAAAATGTTCTGGAGACCAACCTGGGCAGCATAACGAGCACTCCTCTCTACAAAAAACCAAAAACTTAGCCAGGCATGGTGGCACACACCTGCAGACCCAGCTACTCAGGTGGCTGAGGCGGGAAGATCACCTGAGTCCAGGTGTTCCAGGCTATGGTGAGCTGTGATCGTGCCACTGCACTCCAGCCTGGGCCAGAGTAAGACTTGGATTCAAAATAAAATGTTCTGGAGAGATGAGGCATCCAGTTAGCCACTCATTCTCAAATGTTCCAGAAAGTTATTTGTATTCTACTTCTAACTCTTTTGTAGATCTGTGATGGTTTAAAAATAAACACAATTTCTTTCCTTTTTTAGTCTTTTATTTTAAAGATGTGAGTGCAAGTCGGGATTAGGTAGGCAAGTGGTGGCCATATAGGTCCCCACTTTGCTTGGTTTGAGATCAGGGACCCTTACTGAGGTTATGTGCCCCCACCCTTCCCTCCCCTGGCAGTTTCTGGCTACCGCCAATCCCTTTCTTCTAATATTATGGTCAATGTTCAGGGTCTGCTTAAGAGTGAGAACATGTGGTACTCTGTTCTTTGTTTCTGTGATAAATCACGGGGTATTATAGACTCCAAATCCGTCCAAGTTGCTGCAGAGTCCATGATTTTGTTCTTCTTTATGGCTGTGTAATATCCCATCGTGTATACGTACCACCTATTTTTAATCCAGTCCAGTTTCAATGGACAGCATGGTTGGTTCCCTGTTTTTGCTATTGTAAATGGTACTGTGATAAACATGCATGTTCAAGTATATTTTTTGAAGAATGATTTAAGTCCCTCCAGGTATATTCCAAGAAGGGGGATTGCTGGGTTGTATGGACAATTTCTAGTTCTTTTAGGAATCGGCACTCTGGTTTCCACAGAGGTTGAACTAGTCTGCATTTCACCAGCAGTGTAGAAGCATTCCTTTTTCTCTGCAGCCTCGCCAGCATCTGTTGTTTTTTGTTTTATTAATGATGGCCGTTCTTACTGGAGTTAGGTGGTCTCTATCTCAGTGTGGTTTTGATTTGTATTTGTTTGATGATTGGTGGGCTGAGCGTTTTTCCCGTGTCTGTTGGCTGCTCGTACATCTTCTCTGGAGAAGTGTCTATTCATGTCTTTTACCCACGTTTTAATGGGGCTGTTTGGAAAATAAAAGCAATTTCTTTTCTAAGCTAACAGCTAGCGTTTGCCGAGCACTCACCAAGTATCAGGCGGTGCTGTGGAGTGCTGTGCCGTGAACTCGGTGGTTCCCCAGGGACTCATCTGACTTGCATCTCTACCAAAACGTGGCCGTGTGCCCCTATAGTCCCCCCAAGGTCCCTGTAGCCGCTGTAGCCACTGGTTACAAGTGGTCTACAATGACTGCGGTGTGTCTGCAACCCTGCCCCCTCCATGGAGATCCAGCTCTTTAGGGGCAAGGCCTGTACCCCAACCTCCAAATGTACCCCTTACTCCCAGCACAGCCCCTGGCCTGGTATATGTGAAGTCCTCAATACACGCCTGATGACGGAAGCATTGAGCCTTGCTTGCCACAGTGACTACAGTCAAAAACGAGGCACCAGGCTGGGTGTCCCAGCCTGTCGTCCCAGCATTTTGGGAGGCTGAGTTGGGAGGATTGCCTGAGCCCAGGAGTTAGAGACCCGCCTGTGCAACGTGGCGAGACCTCATCTCTACAATAAGCCAAAACATGAGCCAGGTGTGGTGGCATGTGCCTGTAGTCCCAGCTACATGGGAGGCCGAGGCAGGATCATTTGAGCCTAGGAGTTCAAGACCAGCCTAGGCAACATAGCAAGACTCTGTCTCTACAAAAAAAAATGAGCCAGGTGTGGTGGCACGTGCCTATCGTCCCAGCCACTGGGGAGGCTGAGGTGGGAGGATAGCTTGAACCCAGGAGTTCGAGGTTGCAGTGAGCTATGATCATGCCACTGCACTCCAGCCGGGGCAACAGAGCAAGACCCCATCTCTCAAAAAAAGAGGTCCTGACTTTGGGATGCACGTCTGATCCATGACTTCCTTTCAGGTGGCCCTGGCTCTGGCAAAGGCACACAGTGCAGAAAGCTGGTAGAAAAATACGGATTGACCCATCTCTCGACTGGCGAGCTCCTGCGCCGTGAACTGGCATCCGGGTCTGAAAGAAGCAAAGTGATCAGCGACGTCATGGACCGCGGAGACCCGGCGCCGTCGGTAAGCAGCACACCCTGGCCGGCCCGGCTGTCTCCCCTGTCTGGACTGTGGTGATGAGTCTGAGCACCTGGAACCAAGAATCCCAGAGGGACAGGAGCTGCATGTTATCTCCCTTCTATGTGGCAACCCAGAGGCACCAGGTCTACAGCAGACAGGCTTCTGCCCGGCCAAGTCAGGCTGGCCCAGGCTCCTTCTGCTCTGTACGCTGCCAGCCCATCACACGTTAGTCTGTGTCACGTTGGTCACCCCACTTCACAGTCTGAAAATCTCCGAAACAGGCTAGGCGCAGTGGCTCACGCCTGTGATCCCGGCTCTTTGGGAGACCAAGGCGGGAGAATCCCTTGAGCCCGGGAGTTTAAGACCAGCCTGGGCAATGAAGTGAGACCCCCATCTCCACAAAAAATAAAAAATAATTAGCTAGGCCTGGTGGTGTGAATCTGTAGTCCCAGCTACTCAGGAGACTGAGGTGGGAGGCTCGTTTAAGGCCAGGAGTTCGAGGCTGCTGCAAGCTGTGATTGTGTCACTGCACTCCAGCCTGGGCAACAGAACAAGATCCTGTCTCTTATTTAAAAAAAAACAAAAACAAAGAAACGGACCAGGCTTGGTTTCTCAGTCTGTCATCCCAGCACTTTGGGAGGCTGAGGCAAGTGGATTGCCTGAGCCCATGGGTTCGAGACCAGCCTGGGCACCTTGGCAAGACCTTGTCTCTACAGTAAAATAAAAAATTAACTGGGCCTGGTAGTGCACACCTGTAGTTCTGGTTCCTTGGAAAGCTGAGGCGGAAGGATTGCTGGAGCCCAGCAGGTTGATGCTGGGGTGGCCGTGAGCATGCCACTGCCCTCCAGCCTGGACGATGGAGTGAGACTCCGACTCAAAAAAAAAAAACAGTCTTCAAAACACAGGTGGGTGTAGTTTGGCAGAGCCTGACCACCCTATCTAAAATAGCCCCAGCATCATGTATCTCTTGACTGTGCTTGAATTGTGTGCCTATTCTGTAGCTGACTGTTTATTATGTGCTCATTTATTCGTGTCTTCCGTATTAGACTATAGGCTTCATGGAGAGTTCATGCATGATGACGTGGTGACATAAGGATGGATTCTGACCACACTTGTGATGGCCACATTCCTCGAGCTCCTGCCGGGCGCCCGGGGAACACCTCCATTTGGGCAGCTGATTGCATTTTTTTCTATACCAGTTCCCCAAATTCCGTGTATCTCTCCTCCCTTGTTTTCCATAAGTTCTTGTAAATCCAGTTTTTTAACAGGGAAAGCAATGTTGCTAGAAAATGCCATTTCACATCCACCGAAAATCTTCTCAAGTCAGTAGACGTCAAATTTCATAAAATATTTACTAGAAAAAAACGCTGACAGCGGAATACAGTCTATCCCATGTTCCATCTGGCTTTCAGTTGCCATTTCGCCTAATGCATGGTGTGCCATCCTGGGAAGCATGGATGCCATATTCCACCTAATCTAAGATGCTATTCTTTTAAGACACCCCAGTGAAATATAGCCAGTAAGAATAAACCAGTGAGAAAAAGACAGACCACTAAACTCTGACCCAGCACTGATTGTAAGATACCTGCCAATTTCATAGATATTAAAATATGGTGGGGTCGGTTGCAGTGGCTCATGCCTGTAATCCCAGCACTTGGGAAGGCCGAGGCAGGAGGATCACTTGAGCCTAGGAGTAGTAAACCAGCCTGGGCAACACAGTGAGACCGCTTCTCTACAAAAATTAAAATTAAAAATTAGCCAGGCTTGGGTGGTGCACACCTGTAGTCCCAGCTTCTCAGGAGGCTGAGGCAGAAAGATTGCCTGAACCCAGGAAGTCAAGGTTATGGTAAGCCCTGACAGTGCCACTGCACTCCAGCCTAGGCAACAGAATGAGACCCCGACTCAAAAAGAAAAAAAAACATGGCAGGGAGAGAAGGAGGCGGAATCTGGCATACGGCTGTCTGCCGACCATCTTATCTGAACCTTCCTCCCCCGGCCAGTGGGATGACGAAAGGGGACTGTGGTGGCTCTCGTTTGTCCTGCAGAAGGGTCCGGGTCCTGACGCCTCTCCCTCTGTCCCCAGGGCATCATTCTGGAGCTCCTGCGGGAGGCCATGGTGGCCAGCCTCAGCAACACCCAGGGCTTCCTGATTGATGGCTATCCTCGGGAGGTGAAGCAAGGAGAAGAGTTTGGACGCAGGGTGAGCTGTGGTCATGGGGATCGTTCCAAATCATTCCGGCAGGGGACATCACCGAGGCTGGAGTCTGTCCCTCCCCCCCCCCCGCCCCGACTTCACAAATCAAAACTTTCCATCGCACATGGCAGAAACTCGCCCCCAGCCACTGCCCGGTGGTGGTTCAGGCTTGGTCAATCCCGATATCGAGATGTGTTCAATTGTGTCTGATCCTCTCCATCTCTTGAATTTTCTCTCCTTCATGATGGCTTCGTTTTTCTCCCCGATCCAGGCTGACAGTCTGCCGTCTCAGCCACCTCCCAGAAAAGCGTGGCTGTTCCCCAGTGGGTCCAGCCAGAGACCCAGGATGGGGTTTCATCCTCCCACCATCACAGAACCAATCACGGTGGCCAAGGGGGCAGGGGCGGGGAGACGCTGAGTGGCCCAGCAGGTGGACCAGGTGGGCTGGGAAGAGAGAAGGGGGTGTGGGTGCCACGTCTGAGCCACACAGACTGAAAGAAGGAAGGGAGATGCCCCCAGAAAGCAGGGCGGCTCTTCCAAAAGGCAGGGGGGAGAGAGGATGCTGGCAGAACAAACGCTGCGCCCTGCCACCCCGCCCCCGCCTCCCAAACCCACCCGCTCCTAGTGAGGTGCGCAGGGCCACCCCAGGGGAGCCGTGGTAAGTAGAGACCATTGTGGCTGCCGCTACTGGCAACTTGGACTTACTCTGGGCCAGGCCCCGCGCAGGCGCTGTTGACACGGCACCTGCCACTTTACAAGGTCAGAGCAGGAGGGTGCAGTTGTCCTCGTTTGCTAAACAAAGGCTGATCCGGAACCTAGGAGAGATCCATGTTTGTACACATGGCTCTTTAGGTTGCTTTTGAGGCCAGGCAGTGGTGGCTCACACCTGGAATCCCAGCACTTTGAGAGGCCCAGGTGGGAGGACTGACTGCTGCACCTGGGAGTTCGAGCCCAGCCTAGGCAACATAGCAAGCCCGTGTCTCTACCAAAATAAAAGGAAAAAGAAAGAAAAAAAAAAGTTAGTTTTGAAACATTTTTGTAAACATTCTTTCATTGGATGTGTTTTTTAAAATAATCTTTTTAGGTAGATAGGAAAAGTGTGGAAGGTGAGTGATTAAACTTAGAGAGGTTTAATGATTTGCCCAGTCATACAACTGGTGACAATTTGCTGGTAAGTGACAACTGCTGGAAGGACTGAGATTTCGGGGACCCATCTCCATCCATCCCCCTCTAGCGATGTTGATTCGGGCGAATCGTGCTTGTGGGTGTCCTGGGTGTCTCCTGGTTTGACCTCCTCTGAGCCTCTGTTCATTTAACTTCCCCAGACAGTGTCTAAGTGTTTAGAGGTCAGTGACTCACCTTCCCCTCGAGTCCAAGAAAAAACTCCCAGGTCTGGTTGGCGGGCAGGGCCCTTACAAAAATATTTTATTGTCTGGATCTTTAGTTTTACAGTGCTAACTTCGCAGGAGCTAGTATCTATTCCATCTTGTTTATTGCTGCATCTTCGCATTCAATAAATTGCCGGGCTGAGGCCACAGACCCCCTGGCTGTCCCTGGTCTCCAGAGCCTCCACCAGCAAGGTGAGGGCGGGCCGGAAAAGGGAAGTTTATACAGCAGAGCCCTGTTACTTTGAGAGCCACAATTAGGTTCGTGAACCATGCTAGGAAAAGTGCTGCACACCTCATTGCTGATTATCCCTACGGTCACCTTCGGGAAGCTATGTGCGGACGCCAGCGCCTAGTCCCTCCATCAAAGCAGCTTGGGAACTCTTTTTCGGGAATAGTCAGTAACCAGAGCTGTCATCATTATTTATTGAGACCTGACAATTAAGTTCACGAACTTGTCGCGTGCACTTACGTTGGCACCACTGTACAAATAACTGCAAGGAACGCCCTCCCTACTCACCTGATCTGGTCCACAGTGATTATTTTTTTTCTTTACCCAAAGATAGAGGAAATATTAAAAGGAAGACAGGCCAGACGCGATGGCTCATGCCTAGAATCCCAGCATTTTGGGAGGCTAAGGTGAGAGGATTGTCTCGACCCATGGGTTCAAGACCAGCCTAGGCAACTTGGCAAGATCTCATCTCTACAATAAATCACATAAAAAATTAGCCAGGTGTGGTGGTGTGCACCTGTAGTTCCATCTCCTTGGAAGGCCGAGGTGGAAGGATCGCCTGAGCCCAGCAGGTTGTGGTGGCCATGAGTGTGCCACTGCAGTCTGAGCGACAGAGTGAGACTCCAACTCAAAAAAAAAATTATTTCCAGATAATATGTAACTAAGTTAGCATATTCATTTTTAACTAATTTAACTTCTTCCAAATTCTCATTTGCAAATGAGACTCACAGTTAAAACATCAGACAAAGCCGGGCTCGGTGGCTCAGCCTGTAATCCCAGCACTTTGGGAGGGCAAGGTGAGTGGATTGCCTGAGCCCACGGGTTCGAGACCCACCTGGGAAACTTGGCGAGACCTCATCTCTACAATAAATAAAAAATTAGCCGGGCGTGGATGTGCACGCCTCTAGTTCCAGCTACTCGGAAGGCTGAGGTGGAAGGATCGCCAGAGCCCAGCAGGTCGAGGCTGCGGTGGCCGGGAGCGGCCCCTGCACTCCTGTCTGGGCGACAGAGTGAGACTCAGACTCAAAAAAAAAAAATCAGACAAAACAACATGTGGTGACTTCTGAAGACAGACTTAAATGCATTCTTTCAACTTTATTCAAACTACCAATGTCCCCCAACATTGATCATTTTATTTTTTATTTTTATTTTTTGAGTGGGAGTCTCACTGTCGCCCACGCTAGAGTGCGGGAGCACACTCACGGCCACGGCAGCCTCAGCCTGCTGGGGGCTCAGTCGATCCGCCTCAGCCTTCCAAGTAGCTGGAACCACAAGCGTGTGCCACCACCTCTGGCGAATTTTTTTATTTATTGCAGAGATGAGGTCTCACCATGTTGCCCAGGCTGGTCTCGAACGCATGAGCTCAGGCAAGCCTCTCGCCTCCCGAAGTGCTGGAATTACAGGTGTGAGCCACCATGGCTGGCTCTCCATGGACCGTTTTCAAAAAGCAATTTAATCCTATCAGAGGGTGATGCTCACTTTCACCCGCTCGCCTTCACGCCACTGTCACAGGCAGGCCATCGCAGGCCACGTACACAGAGGGCCAGCACCCCGCAGACGCCAACCACTTCGACGATAGCATCAAGTAGCTGTCCCTGCTGAACATTCGAGGGCACCTTCAACTGTATACGATTCAGCTGTGAAACACAACCCTGGGGGGGGGCATTAAAGCGGTGAAACTTTCACGTAGCTCGGCAGGCCTGCGGGCCTTAGCCCTTTCTGAGTGTACAGTTCTGTGGTACCAAGTATGATCATGTTGCTTTGTGACCATCACCCACACGCACCTCCAGGCTCTTTTCATCTTGCTAAACAGAAACTGCACCCACGAAACAACATCTCCCCTTTCCCCAGCCCCCGACAGCCACCATCCAACTCCCTGTCTCTACAAATCTGGCCACTCTGGGGCCCTCCTGTTTCACTTTTTTAAACGTCCTCCGCGCTCACTCATTCATGTCGTAGCGTGTGTCCACCGCGTCCTTTCTTTCCAGAATGATTAACATCCCACCGCATGCGTATACCCCGTTTTATCTATCTGTCCATCAGCAGACACCGGGGTCTTGCTTCCACCCCTTGGCTATTGTGAATGACGCCGCCAGGAACATGGGTGTGCACATGCCCGTCCACGGTCCTGCTTTCAACCCTTCGGGGGACATACCCATACGTGGAATCGCTAGATCAGATGGCGATTCCAGCTTTAATTTTTGTAGAACCACCATGTACGTGAGTCCTGCCAGTCACAGGGGCCGCACCATTTTTACCTTCCCACGGACGCCGCCTGTGGATTTCGACTTCTTCCCACCAACAGTGGCTATTTTCTGTTTTGGATAGTAGCCATCCTAGTGGGTGTGAGGCAGTAGCTCACTGTGGTTTGGATTTGCATTTCCCTAATTATGAGTGACGGTGAGCATCTTTTCGTGTGTTTTTTTGGCCAGTTGTATATCTTCTTTGGAGAAATGTCTTTTCGAGTCTGTTACCCATTTTTCAATCAAGTTGTTTGCCTTCGGTTGTCGTTGAGGTGTAAGAGTTCTTTGTATACTCTGGATAGGAACTCTTCATCAGGTTATGATTTGCAGCTATTTCTTGCCACTTCCTGGACTGCCTTTTCACCCTTTTGATTGTGCCCTGGGATGCACAGACGTTTTCCACTTTGGTGTAGTCCAGTGTGTCTAGTTTTACTTGTGTTGCCTGTGCTTCTGATTTTACTGTCCAAGGAATCACTGCCAAATCCAATGTCATGAATCTTTCCCCATACATTTTCTTCTTTTTTTTTTTCTTTGTGACTTGGAGTGTTACTCCATCGCCCAGGCTGGAGGGCAGTGGCACGCTCACAGCCACCCCAGCATCAACCTTCTAGGCCCCGACCATCCTTCTCCCTCAGCCTTCCAAGTAGTCGTAACTATAGGTGCGCACTACCACACCTGGCTAATTTTTTTATTTACTGTAGAGATGAAGTCTCACCAAGTTGCCGGGGCTGGTCTCGAACCCTCAGGCTCAGGCAATCCACTCGCCTCGGCCTCCCAAAGTTTAGTTAGATCTTTGGGTTCCACTTTTAGTTCATTGTTTGTTTGTGCTGTAAGACAAAGGTCAGACTTCATTCTCTTGCATATGAATATCTAGTTTTCCCAGCAACACTTGCTGAAAAGACTGTTTCCCCCATTGAATGGTCTTGGCATTCTTGTCAAAAACCATTTGACCACATACATGTAAGGGTTTCTTTCTGAGCTTTCTAATCCATTCCTTTGGTTTGCGTGTCTGTCTTTATGCAGTACCACCTTCTTTTGATTACTGTAGCTTAGTAATAAGGTTCAAAAGAGGAAGTGTGAGACTGCCAGCTCTGTTGTTCTTTTCCAAGATTGCTTTGGCAATTCAGGGCCTTTTGAGAGTCTATA